GGTTTCGGCTGAAGTTTTACATTTAAATTGTGTGTCCTGGGCAAGCCCCTTTGGGTCCTGAGTTCACTCATTCATTCACAACCTACTTGAGTTAATTTTTGTGTAAGGGGTGTAGTTGAGGTTGAAGTTGAGTTTTTGGCTGTGGATGTCACCAGAAAGGCTTCGCAGAGGAGAAAGCCCCGAGACTGAGCTCACCCAGGGCCACAGAGGAAGGGTCGGAGAGCCAGACTCCAGCCCTTCTGCCCTCAACTGCGACACCACGTCTGGACGGCTCCCGGGGAGGAGCCAGGCCGGGGGGAGGAGGATCTAGCTCAGCCCTCCCTCAGGGGTACTTCAGCGGCCAGCTGGGGCAGGGGTCATCCAACACCAGCGGAGCTGCCGGGCATTTGCTGTGCCGGGCACTGCTGGGCCCAGGCTTCCCCGGCCCAGCCCATAGCGAGGCAGGACAGACGCTGGTCACAGAGCTATTGGTGTCATAGAGGGTGTTGCCCTGAGATTCAGGAGCCCAGACACCCACAGAGTTGAGAGGAGTCTGTGCTCCCTGGCTCAGGAAGGAGGGAAGGGTGTTCGGGGAGAGGGAACAGCAAACACAGAGGCTCGGAGTGTGGGTGGAATTGGTGGAGTGCGGGCAGAGCGGGCAGAGGCTGTGAAGGGCATGTGAGAGTGTAACTGGCCGAGCTGCGGGATGGAGAGGCACAGAGAGTGTGAGCAAGGAGGAGAGGGCCGCAGGTGCTGTCGGAAGCTCCCTCTGCTGTTCCCTCAGAGACCGTGCTGCGACGAGGTGGGGCAGTGCCCTGGTCACTAAGCCCGGTGCTGCCCTGGGCATTGGCTGCGGGGGGAGGACTTGGGGGGCAGGAGAGGGGCAGCTCCGGGCTTCTGTGTGGGCCCTTGGCTGGAGGCGGGTGCTGGTGTCATTGTGGAGGCCCGGTCGGGGTGGGGGTCCTGGGTCCACAGAAGCTGGTGCGCCGGCGCACCCCAAGGCCTGCCCGCGCCCTGGCCCTCATTGTTCCGGACGGTGCACTCCTGAGTCGGCACATTCAGGGGACTTTGTTTAAGTGGCGACACCTCTCTGCTGTCATAAAGGAGGGGTTGTTCTCTCTTGAAGTTCAGCACAAACACTAGCGAGGCAAACCGAGCCAGCCGGCGGGCGGTGCCGGCCGCGGCCTGCAGCAGGCTGCATAGCTCAGCAGAACTCCTGACTCAGGCTTTCAGCGCTATTATGTGGCTGTGACTCCTCATCTGTCCCTCCCAGGAGCCTGGTCCTCAGGCACCAGGGCCAGCCAGGCCTCCCAGGAGGGGCCATCACCTCCCCTCTAGTGCTGGACCCGAGAGGCCCAGAGTCCTGCCAGGCCCTGTCTCTGTCCTGGGTCGGTTTGTGTGTCCCGGGCAAGACCCTTTGGGTCCTGAGTTCTCTCATAGGCACGGCTGGTGGGGGTGGAGGTGGTAGGGCAGGGAGCTGGGTCAGACGGTGCCTGAGCTCCTCCATGGATCTTTCTGGGTCCTTCCTCCTCCTTCTTTCCCCCTGTGCCTTTCCTCCTCTCTCACTCATGTGCTCACTCATTCATTCACAAATGTTCAAAGACGGTCTCTGAGGGGCCCAGCCCTGAACCCGGGCCTGGGAAATGATTCAGACCCATTGTGCACCCTCGGGGAGCTCCCAGGCTGGTAGGAAGGTAAAAATGCAAGCAGACAATGTGGTTCAACCCTTGGCCTAGGAGCCCTTAGACCTCCTCTGCCCCGGGGAGAGTGGGAGGGAGTCGGGAAGCCTCAGAGGACGGGCTGTTTGCAATGGGCCGTGCAGGCGGTAAACAAGGGTAGGGATGGGGCACCCGAGAGGAGAGTCAGCACAAGCTTGGAGGAGCCGAAATGCTGGGTGTGTGTGAAAATGCAAACAGGTCAGGGAGGGCCTGGGACCGAGGCTCGAATGCTGTGCAAAGGGCTTTCCCCAGGAAGCCACGGCTTAGCGTTGGGGTGGGGAGGCGTCGGAGAAGTGAGTGGGAGGCGAAGAGCTGGGATTCTGAAAGGATGGAGAGACTGGGCGGGAGGCAGTGAGGAGCTGGTGGTGGAGAGCAGGCTGGAGGGCAGGAGCAGCCATGGGGTTGGGGCTGGGGGAGGGGCGGGGGCAGAGGGATAGGGGCGGGGGCAGAGGGAGGGAGGGCCATCACTGGGACAGGAGGCGGAGGGGCAAATCTGATTGGACACTGAGTGGTCGGCCTGGGAGATGACAGAGGGCAGGTGTCCTGGACCTGGGGCGGCTGGACTGCGCTGGGATGCAGGGGACTGGGGGGACTGAGAGGAAGGGAGCTGAGGCCACGCCCTGCCCCTGCAGTTGGGCATCTAAGGAGGGACTTTCCAGAAGGGGCATGTGGAGGGGGCAGTGCTTAACCCCCGAGTGCCAAGTCTGGGTGGAAACATCCACGACGCTGCTGTTGGGGACTTGAACAGGCCGGCTCCCCACCGCAGAGGCCTCCGTGGCCCCGCAGCTCCCTCCCTCCCTCTGGTCCCCTTATGGCTTCTGTTCTAACTTTCCGCACTCCGAGGCCTCTGCTGAGAACCCCAGGGGAGCGGAGCCAAAGGTGTTTTAAAACGTGTTTTCACCTTGCCGGTGCGGCTCAGTGGTTGGTCATTGATGCATGAACCAGGTCACTGGTTCGAATCTGGTCAGGGCACATGCCCGGATTGCGGGATCCCGCAGAGCAAGCAGTAGGCTTGGGGCAGACAGAGCCAGTCGGGGGCATGCAGGAGGCAGCCGATTGATGATGTTTCTCTCTCATTGATGTTTCTATCTCTCTATCCCTCTCCCTTCCTCTCTCTCTAAAACAACCAATAAAACATATTTTAAAAAAGCATTTCCTGGAGGAACGAGTGAGCACGAGATTGGTGCTACTTGTCACCTACACTGTGAACCTGGCAGGGGAGCTGTGTGCCTGTCCCAGCTGCTGAGGCGGCTGCCACAGCAGGTCCGGGTCCCCAGCATCACCAGACCCCCCTCACCCCCCACCGTGGGGAAGAGGCGAGACACAAACATGCCCCCGTCAGTCATCAGGGAGGAAAAGAGACGTGGGAGAGGAGAGGGGCAGGAGAGCAGAGAGGTTTATTTCAGGTGCAGGCGCCCGTCCTCTGGGAAGTCCCAGGAGAGCCACTTCAGCCCGAGGGCCCAAGAGGCCACAGCTGAGAGGGAGGCTGGTGGAGAAAGGGCAGGAAGGCCAGCTGCTGGCACCCGGTCAGAGGGGAGCAAGGAAGGAGAGGAGCCCTGAGGGCCGAGGGCCAAGGGCCAGATGAGCCCCCGGAGATGTCTGGGGCGGGGTGACGGGTGCGCCTGGTATAGTGAGAGTCCTCGGGAGCTCCTGGAGGCAGCTCCCCCAGTGCTCCTGTCTGTCTGAAGGGGCAGTGGGGATGGCGTGGAACTCTGGGCATCTCTCACACAGATGATGTGGGCTGTGTGATACCGTCCGAGTGCCTGCGGGCCTGCGGGGCCGAGATTGGCTGCTCCAACATCGCCTACCCCAAGCTGGTCATGGAACTGATGCCCATTGGTGAGGTTCTGGTGGGTCGGTGCGGGGGGGGGGCAGGCAATGAGGGAGCTGTGGGGGCATTCTGGATCCAACGTGATGGTGTGTGACATCCGGGTAGGATGCTCTGCTCATCGGAGAAGAGAGGAAAGTGCAGGCAGACCGGGGTTTGTGTCTCAGCCACCCTGTGGCCTTGGCCAAGCACTCCTCCAACCCCGTGCCTCAGTTTCCATATCTGTCACGCAGCTAATAGCTCTGCCTCACAGCCTTTAAGGAGAGAAGCATTTTGCAAAAGCGTTTGGCACCCAGTGGGCCTGAAAGAGAAAGTCGCCCCATTTCTCAAGTGACAGGACAAGCTCTTATCCAGGTTCAGACTCTACTTTGCAGCTCACCTGCCATGTGACCTTGGCCAAGTCACTACCCTCTCTGGGTCTCAGTGTGCCCATCTCTAAAATGGGGATGATAATAACACGGTCCCTGAGATGAAGAGGCAGGTTACTCACGTGGCATGTGAGTGTTTCTATCAAGCCCGCTGCTGGCTCTGCCGGGGTCATGTGATCAAGGCCCCGTGAACCTTCGCCTCTGCCTCCCCCGAGACCCTGTGGGCCAGCCGGTAAACCTAGGGGACAGGCTTAGGCCTTCTGTGCATTTCTTGTGGCAGCAGAGGTCCTGCCAGCGGGACCTGGGTGATGAGGTCCCCGTCGCAGGAAGGGTGCACCGAGGCCACTGCAGGTGGGGGCATCCGCCTAAGCCAAAAGGAGACCCTCTGCCGCCCCGTCCTCCGACCCTCTAGTCTGCACCTCCCTCCCTTGGCCTCCCCTGCGGAGGCGGCCTGGCCTGCCCTCCCCTCCTCCAGGGAGCCCCGGCCCAGGGAGGTTAGTGCTCGGAGCGGGATCAGATCTTGGCTCCGCCACGGTTGGCTGCGATATGTGGGGCATGTCACATCCCCGCTCTGAGCTTCCGTGTCCTCGTTTGTAAATTGGAGATGATGACACCTACCCACCCTGAGTGTTGCTGCTGGGATTAAACCCTAACGCAGGAGACTGCCTGGTGCCCGTCCTGGCTGCGTGGGTTCCCCTCCGGGCCTGCCTCCTCCTGTTCTGGGGCCACACCCCTGCAGGCCTTGAGCTCCCTGTCTGAAACAGGTGGGGAGTCAGCCCGGAGTTCACCCACCTCTCTGAGCAAGAAAAGGCGGGCGGAGAAGTGTTTTGGGGAAAACACTTTCTCGAACTCACTTTCCTTTCGGCCCCATCCCAGTCAGACTGACACATAAACAGCAAAGACCATGGACGCCCGGAGTCACACCTCTGCTCGGATGCAGAACCTGGGCCAGGCAGCGACTGGCACCTGTGGGCCGAGCCCTCCTAGGCCGGTGGCACTAGAAGGAGAAGCATAAACGCCTGGGAGACAGACGTGCACCAGGACCCAGCACGGACGTGGCCCCCACAGCCGGCTCCAGCCCGGATTCCTGGGAGGCTTTGCACACGGGGCCTGGCCGACCTCCAGGCCCTCGCTCATTCAGCCAATCAGCAGGTGGACTTTTCTGTTCCCATGGGAACCACATCTCTCCCAGAGCCAACAAGGAAGGGACTCCCCTGGGCCTGCCACACGTAGGAGGCCAGGGCTGGGCTGCTGCCCCTGCCCACCCAGACCTCCCTCACCCCTCACCCCACCCCACCCCACCCCCCGAGTTCTGCTTC